TTTGAGTAGGGATAGTAACATAACTTTAATTTATGTTTTTTAATGGGTAACAAATTTTATTTCTGTTTTCTATATATAGAAACTTCTAATATAATTATTATTTGTGAATATTTTATTAATTCTTTAAAAATTCCATGCAATTCACAGTCAACCTCCCATTTCTTACCCCGATACACCCTCACCTCCGTAACTCCAGCATCCCTGCAGCTTCGTGTCAGCCTTTTAATTTCTATTTTAAATGACTCATCAAGTCCAGGTGTACTGTGCATATACTCCTGAATATGAGGCCATCCACTGGGCCACACCTTGAAAGAAAAGTGATTCCCCCCTCCTCCAGAAGCCATTAACTGGCTATAGTTCCTCAGTTAGGGGACCCATGAATCCCTGCCCATTCCATGCTAGAGTGTGAACTGACTTAACTTTGGTCAGGAAACTGCAACTGCCATGAATTCATGAGTGCATTGACCCAGCTGTATCCAGAAAAACGTTGTTTCTCTTCAGTCCTCAGCAACCTCTGGGTCTTACGGTCTTTCTTCTTCCTCTTCCCTGACAGTCCTGAGCCTTGAGGAGTTGTAATGTAAATGCCTCATTTGGTTAAACAGCCCATAGACACTTTTCCCATGCACTTTGATCAGTTGTGAGTTTGTGTGTTAACTGCCATTCATTGCTCACAGAAAGACCTCTGATGAAGTCTGAGGGCTATCCTAGTCTCTGTATGTAGAGATACAAACTTAGAGGGCAGTTTGATACTATGTACATTTAGCATAGTAGCAATAGTGGGTCAAGCCTGGAGCCATGAGATCCCCAACCATGGGTTCTTGGCAAAATTTTCAGTACCATGTGGAAGTTTCCTCCTATAGATCACCCCTTCAGTGCCATCATAGGATGGTAGGTTAGCCCTATACCATTCATGTCACTACTGCACACATGGACATGTCTGTCATTATTGCAGTTCGTAGGATTCACATATGGGAAGACTACTGAGGAGATTTACCCCCAAGAGCTTACATAGCAATGCAATAAGATCATGATTTTTTCCATGATCCACGATCAATGCACGTGGCATCTACCATCAAGTCCTGATGGGAAAACAAGAGCAATCACAACAGCCTATATTATTTGGGAAATTCCTGGAACATCTTTAACTACCAACTGGTTGGAGGTATCTCACATTTGGTACTTGGCTTTTTCTTTGGCAACCTATGGCTTCTAGGAGGGACATAATCCCCTGTATATGAGACGGCTCAATAAACTCTTTTATATGAAAGAAATATGTCTGTAGTGTATAGAACAGTAGTTTCCACATGGCTCTTTCAACATTCTTATAGTTATCTCTCCCCCATTCTTCTCCTCTGCTCTTTCCTCCTGTTCCTCTCTCCACTTACATCCCTCACTATGATCCCCCGTCTCCTTCATATTACCTGTGTTACATTACTATCCCTCCTTCAATATTACTGTTTGTATTTTCTATCAATGGCCCATTCTAATTTCCTGGATTATCTGGGTATTCCAAATTAGATTTTTGGAATCTAAACTAATCTAAATCTAAATCTAAAGTTTCAATGCTATGATCCATCCCCCTCTGCCTTAGTTAGGGTCTTATTGTTCAATTCCATTTTGATATTTTTTAACATTAAGGATAAATTAAGGTCATAGTAAGAGAAACAGAGCTGGGTCAAATGTGCCTCCAAAATTAAAAGGTAATTAGAATCGCCACAGGTAATTCTAATGAGTAGAGTTCAGGAAGTAAAAATATCCCAGGAGGCTTAAGAGATTACTCCGCAGTTAAGAGTGATTGTGGAGTAGACACAACCATCTCTTTGTGCATTAAAGTCTGAAAAGTCTACCGTAGCAGCTCTTCAGCGGTGGCAGCTGTAAGTAGCCTTTGATTTTCTGTTGAAATCTGTCAGTTTCAATGTGTTAGTTTTCTTTGTTCATGTTAGTGTTTTATATAATATAAAAAGCTTTATCAAAATTAAAACAAACCAAAGCATTAAAGTTGTAACAGAAACATCTTCTTAGCTCAAAAGAGGCTGAACCCATAGGTAGTTGAGAGAGTGCTTGTTTTAGAGATGGAGAAGAGAGGAAGAGAAAGATATTAAATAGAGGCCAGGTCTCTGGATGAACCTGGAGCTAACTGATACAGTCAGTTCGGCTGCTAAGCAAGCACCAGAAACATGTCTGTCTCCATCTATGGTGGTTTGAATGAGCAATGCTCCATAAGTTCTGCTATTTGAATACTTTGTCTTTAGTTGCTGGCATGATCTGAAAGGCAGATTTTCTAGAGGAAGCATGCCACAGAGAGCAATCTTTAAGAGTTATGTAGACTTGCCCTATTTCCAGTTCACCCTCCCTGTGCTTGCAATTCTGCTTGCAATTCAAGACCTGAGCTCTCAGCTTCCTGTTCTAGACACCATGCTTGTGCCCATGTTGTCCCATGTCTGTCCTTTATCTCTGCAATTCTAAGCCAAAATAAACTCTCCCTTCTCTAACAAAATAAAAATAAATTAAATTTAAAAATAAAAAGAAGTGGAAAGGCCAATTCACTTTCAGAGAACTGGGCAGGCTTGGCCATTCATCCCCATGTTGCCAGGCAGCCATTGATGCCTTTGCTCAATTGGAATAAAAATCAAGAAAAAAAAAAAGTGAAGTGTTGCTCCCCTTGTGATGCCATCTATCCGAAACAGCAGCAGCCGGTGTTACTAGCACAGCCTGCTTTGCCAGAGACTGAAATCAAGAAAAACCAAAATGTAAACAGCCAAGAGAGGCTTCCTTTAGACTTCTGATCCAGCCCAAGCAGCTGTAGAGCAGACCAAGGGTGAGACTGCTGCTTTTGTTTTATTTTTTTTTATTTTTCTTTTTTGTTATTATTTATTTCAATTTATTCACTTTGCATCTCTGCTGTAGTCCCCTCCCTCATTTCTTCCCGGTCCTACCCTCCTTCCTTCTTCCACTCCCCAAGCCCACCCCCCAAGTCCACTGATAGGGGAGGTACTCCTCCCCTTCCATCTGACCCTAGCCTATCATGTTTCATCAGGACTGGCTGCATCATCTTTCTCTGTGTCCTAGTGCCACCTCTCCAGGGGGAGGTGATCAAAGAGCCTGCAACTGAGTCCATGTCAGAGACAGCCCCTACTCCCTTACTAGGGAACCCACATGGAGACTGAGCTGTCCATGGGCTACATCTGAGCAGGAGGTCTAGGTCCTCCCCATGCATGGTCCTTGATTGATTCATCAGTCTCTGAAGGACCCCCTGAGCCCAGATTTTTTGGCTCTGTTGGTCTCCTTGTGGAGCTCCTGTCCCCTCCATGTCTTTCTATCTCCCCCTTCTTCCATAAGATCCCCTGTACTCAACCTAAAATTTGGCTATGAGTTTCTGCATATGCTTCGATACCCTAATGGGTAGAGTCTTTCAGAGGTCCCCTGTGGAAGGCTCCTGTCCTGATCCCTGTCTTCCCCTACTTCCGATGTCTATCCTGCTTGCCCTTCGGAATGAGGATTAAACCTCTTCTCTAGGGTCCTCCTTGTTGTTCAGCTTCTTTAGGTGTACAGATTTTAGTATGTTTATCCTATATTATATGTCTAATATCCACTTATGACTGAGTATATACCATGTGTGTCTTTCTGCTTTTGGGTTACCTCACTCAAGATGATTTTTTTCTAGTTCCATCCATTTGCCTGCAAATTTCATGATTTCCTTGCTTTTAATTGCTGAGTAGTACTGGAAATCAACCTGGTGCTTTCTCAGAAAATTAGGAATAGTGCTACCTCAAGATCCAGCTATACCACTCCTGGGTATATATTCAAAAGATGCTCAACCATACAACAAGGACATTTGCTCAACTATGTTCATAGCAGCTTTATTCACAAGAGCCAGGCTCTAGAAACAACTTAGATATCCTTCAACTGAAGGATGGATACAGAAATTGTGGTACATTTACACAATGGAATACTACTCAGCAATTAGAGACTGCTGCTTCTTATAAAGGAATAGGGTCTCAGGCATGCACAGTGTCTCTGGGTGAGAAGGGTGTTCCTTTTGGATCTTATTGGAGGTGACTGAGGTTCTTACAGTCCTTTGTTGATCAGAACCATGCCTGGAGTTTCTACTACCGAAGCGAAAAACCCCGAAACAGTCATGGATACCAGGACGGTTTTCTAGTATGGCTGTGCGGCATTTGAGGGAGCCACAAGGGGAAAAAAGAGTGAAGTTATCTTCTAGGTAATGTCAGGCCTTCCGGACTCAAAGAAAATTTACCAACAGCATCCCTGGTCCTAAGAGCTTGGAACTTAGCCTGGACATACTGTCTGGTTCTTTAGCTTGCAGAAGGCCTAGCACGAGATTTCTGTGCCCCAAGATGATGTGTGCCAACTCCCCTAGTAAATCTGCTCTTGTGCCTTCCTGCACAAGATTTGAAGTTGTGTTATATCCCACAAGCTCATGTGGGATGCTTTGTCCTCAGCTGCTAGTGGTTTTTCAGAGGTGATGAAGACTGAATAGTGAATTATGGTTGAAGGAAGTCATTTAGAGTGTATCTTCGAAGGCCATATTCTGCCTTTTCCACTCATGTCTTACTCTGTTTCCTGGCTCCATGATTTGAAATTCTCTTCTCCATCATGCTCTGTTTGCCATGGAGACCTGACACCTATTAAACCATGAAACTGAAGTTGTTCATGCCAGAAATCCTGCCACAATGGCAAGAAAGCTCATGCTGTGTCCTTTCAGATCTGACTTTCAGAGGGCCCCAATAAAAGGTCTCACTTCTGTGTCGTAAGGATTGCCTTAGGTAATATGGTAAAACATTAAGGGTATTTTTCACTTGTTAAACACTAAGTTTCATTAAGTAATAGCTATTGCATGAGCTTAATTACCAAGAATGAGGAAGTAAATTTAAAGACAGCAATGACTTTTGTTTAGGATGATCTAGGTTGATATGGAAAAGGCGTTGGTGATACAACTACATTTTGCAATTTCAGAAATTCTTTTATTCTATTCAAATGCCTTTATTTTTTCTTACCATGAAAGGACATAAAAAGCAGATTGCACACTCAAGTAAGATGCCAGAGGCATCTGAACTGTAGCACAAATCATCGTGACAAGCAGCCACTCCAGCTGCCCACTATCAGTCTCAACATCTGCAGACACCCTCCCCAGCTGCCATTCTGCAGGAAGAACTGAGTCTCAGAACAACCAGTGACATCTGTCACAGCAATGCTGATGTCAAAACAAAGCGTTATTCAGGCCCCTTTTCAAGCAGGGGAGCCATGGGGGCATCTCCATGTGCTTCCTTCATTGAGCTCCTTCTGTCTTCCAGTCTCTTGTAGGATCTCATGTCAGTCTCTGGACAATGTCTTTCGTTTCTCTCCTTCTTCCCTTTGGGTCCCTAAAAGAGCATCAGAAAATGGTTAAAAAAAAAAAAATCACCAGCAGCTGGCTGTGTTCCACATTTGTCCCAACAGCTAGACAGAAAGCTCTGATTTGGTAGCAGATGTCCATGTCTTACTTTCTAGCATGTAAATGAGCATCAACCCAATTTAATATATCAACAAAGATTTTAGTCATAAAGAAAAGAGTTTTTACTACATTTTAATGTAAGAGCTGTCTGAACAATGCAGTGTTTAGGAAGGACATACAGCCAAATCATCATTCTCCCATAAACTGGCTGGGAGGAAAGTGGTGGGACCATTTTCAGTACTTCACTGATTTATTGAACATATGCTGTAGTTCTAGGATCAGACAATACAGCATTAAATAGATCTACCTTCTAGACACTCCACCTACATGGAGTGAAAGAAAGCATCAGTACCTAAAACTAAACAGAAATGAATAATAATAATTTTAAAAAGGGCTGATAGTACAATGATAACTCCAATAGGGTTATATGACAGGGAACTTGGGGAGAGGATTCTTCAATTTTGATGTTTGTAGTGCCTTTTAGAGTACTTTTGGAGCAAAAACAATGACATTGATAGCTGCCACATCTATGCATATTGATGTATTTATATAATGATCTGTTAAACCCTTCTCCCCTTATTTGAACTAGAAAATTAAAAAGAGTTGAGTGCCTGTGGAACATATGCTATGATGAGTGGTGGTCATGTGACTGCCTCAGCCCTACTAGTGCAAAGTTATGGAAGTGTCTGTTTCAAGTGGTGTCATCTTAGATACTCTACAGCATAAACAAATAAATTTGCTGTATTTCTAGCCAACATGGTTCCTTCATTAAGGTCAGAAAGAAAGATGAAAATGAAGCTGAGATTAAAAAGAGAGAGAGAGAGAGAGAAAAAAACTGAACGTTAGTCCAGCTCTGGGAACGTTCTGACAAATGTGTTTCATTAGCTCAATCACTTATATTCATGTAATCAAAATTTATATTTAGCAGTCAAGAATGTCTCTAGTACTTAGTAGAGCAATATAAAAAAGGAAAATTACAGTAATGATTTTCTCCAGATTAGCTTTTCTCCTACTGAAATTAGATTATCTGAAAAACACTCATCAATAATGAACTCACAGAGACTAACATCAAGCCCAGGATCAAGCCAGCCAATGGATGGAGGAGGGATTCTTAAGGCCCCACCTCAAGGTGATGAGCTATTGACAACTGATGGTTGCTAGAGAAGGAAGACTCAGTTTTCTTCAGGGATATGGTCCCGGAAGGGATTGTTGCTGCAGAAGATGCGCGCGCATACACACACAGAGGCAAGCAGCACTAAAAAGACTCACAAACAAACAAACAAACAGCTGGAGAGAAAGAGAACTCGAAAAATGAGAGGAAAAAGTGGTTGGGGATAGAGAATGTCTTGTAAGTGAGAGGGTAGATTTGAACAAAATATATTCTATGCATGTATGAAATTCTCAACCAATAAAAATTCTTTAAAAATAAACCAAAAGCATAATAAGACTAATACTGGCTGATGATAATACAGCTTTATTGATATGTCATAATCATTGAGCATATCCTTTACTTGAATGGATTTTAGGGTGTTTGTATAATATATCAATAAATAGGTTGGAAAAACTAGATGAATGATATTTTTCCTTTTGTTTGAAAATCAAAATAGTTCAATTGAGTTTTAATATCAAAATAGAAACATTTAGCCAGGCATGTTGACATATGCCTGAAATTCCCGCACTAAGGAGGCTGAGGTAGGAGAATCAAGTGTTTGAGCCCAGTATGAGCTTTGTAACAAACTCCAGGATATCTGGACCTTCACTGCAAGACTCTATTTCAAAAAGGAAAGGAGAAAAGAGTAGGACAAACAGAAGGATGAGAAGGGGAGGGGAGAGGTGGGGAGAGAAGAGGAGGGAGGAGAGGAGAGCAGAGGAGATGATAGGAGAAGATAGAAGGAGAGAGGAGGGGAGGGGAGGGGAGAGAAGAAAAAGGGAGGGGAGGAAAGGAGAGGGAAAGGAGAAAGGAGAAAGGGGAGGGAAGGGAAAGGGAAAAGGGGAAAGGCAAGGCAAGGCAAGGCAAGGCAAGGCAAGGAAGAGAGGAACTCATTATAATCTAACATTGCTGGTAACGAGCAGGCCACAGATGCAGGTTTTGGCTCTTTTCATGCTCAGGTTTATAAAAATATTACATCCACAAGTTACTAAAATGTTGTCTTTAAACAGGAGATACCACAGTTGATCTTCCCTAACCCTGAGCTCTTTGCCTGTGAATTCAACCAACAAATTAGCAAAAATACTCAGGAAGAATTTTTCGTACTGAAAATATACAGCTTTTCTTTGTATTCCCTAAACAATATGTTGCAATAACTACCTCCATAGCTTGTACATTGTGTTAGGCATTAAAAGTGACCTAGAGATAGACTACATGGAAATGTGTTCATGTTTTCAGGAAAGACTTGAGAATACTCCAATTTTAGTATCCTGGCATCTTTGCAAGAACCAATGGTTTAGAATCTTTCTCCCTCCCTTCGTCTCTCTGCCTCCCTCCTTCTCTCCCTCCCTCCCTTCCTCTTCCTTTGAGTGTGCAAATGTATAAATTTACTGATAAATTGCACCATTTAATATATATGTTTTAAAATTTATTGACAAGTAAATAATTTGATGTAGCTATGTTAACACTAGTATGTGGCTTACATAGCAGGAAAATATTTTACAAAAAACATGCCTTGTAAAATTTTAATTTTGCATTGGTGCTTTACAATATACTCTATTTAGGGCTGATATGAAAATAGATATTTACTATTAAGTTATCATAAAAATACTGAGTGGTGTTTTTCAAGGCGCTTATCATAAGCTATGAATGAAGAAGTTAAACTTGGCACCCTAAAATCTGAAGAAAATGAGAGCTTTGGGCTTCCTGCCCCATGGCTTAAACAATGACCCGTTCTGTCTGCCACATACCGCAGAGGGAGAGTGCTTGGTTCGAAGGCACAGGTGTTGCTCAAAGGATTCTGAAAATTCCTGCATTTTGGAATGAGCGCCTCTTCGTGGTTCCATTGGCTCCTTGAATGGCCCATCCGCTGAGCATTTTCTGTGATACCGCATGGGAAGGTGGCCTTGGGATCCCTGGTCTTCATGTGAATGCCTTCTAGGGTGGCAGTCAGGTGATGTCACGCTGGGAAACGCAGGAAACTAGGAATATAGAATTTTTTAAATCTTAACTCATAAAGGGTACGTATACTAACACAGAGACAGGATACATATAAAATAACAAGTAAAGAAATCATATGTTTTAGGAGCAGTTTATCTATCGTCTTTGTAAGAGCTTCCTCCTCCTTTGAGGCAGCAGAGTATTCCAGTCTACTGTCATTGCTTGCTACTCTCCCTGGAGGACAGTGAAGGCCTCCAAGCCTTGAGTAAAATTGCCAGAATAAATTTCAAAAAATTTAGTGGCATACATATGTTTCAGAAATAATGAAAAGATTGATATGTATGGACTCTCTTATAGAAAAATAATGGAGAAATTATGAGGAACAATTAATTTAACCTATATTAAAAATTACTAATATGAATCAAAAGTGTTTCTATGTAACTATCCCTAGGCATAGGCCTGGAAGCTTCTAACCTCCATACAATCTAATCTTCTGCAAGCCCGGACCTTAAAAGCTTCAGCTTCCAGCCTGAAGGTTAACTTCTGCTAACCGAGGCCTAGAATGTTTTCATCATCTGAGACTTACTGCTGAATAAGCTCACCCTTTCTAGTTCTTTCTGGACTCTGGCTGGCTGGTTCAACTCAGCTGTTCTGGATCAAAACTCCTCTCCAAGCTGACTGATTCAATCTGGCTTTTCTCTACTTCTCACTGCATTGCTCTCCTTGGAAAAACTGCCTCTAAACTCCAGGAACTGAACTGCACAAACTCAACTACATTCAACTAAACAGCACCAAACAATACTGTACTCCCAAACTGTTTCCACCAACTCCCTGCTTTCTCTCTATGATATTCACTTCTCTCTCCTGTCTGTTCTCCTGAGAGTTGGGCATATCCTATCTCTGAGTCATTCTGTCAAATCATTCTCTGATTCATCACTTTGTCTGCCCCTCAATTAGATGTCATTGTTTGGGATTAAAGGTGTGTACTTAGGGTACACACTAAGGGTATGTTTGTATTCTAGCTGTATCACACAGACCTAAGTCTTTGGATGTGACCCCTTGCCATATTACTGAATTAAATTTCCTCTACATGGGAAAAATGAGACAGCTGAATTTCCCATCCAAGCAGGCTAGTTTTAGTAGGCATGCTGATGAAGTAAGCCCTGATTTGATCCTTATGCAAAGAGAGAGACCTGAAGTATCTTCACATTAACCAAAAAGCCATTTTCCTACTGTTTTGTCACCCTATCCCACCTCTTAAGAAAAAGAACTTGGAAATGATCTAGTTCCCACCCCCCTTTATTTCTCCTGTTTTCATTCTCTCTGTGAATTTAAAACCAATCTCAGCCCATCAGAACACGTGTTACGCTATGTAGAATACAGATACGAGCACAGTGATGAATCCACTAGCAATCTCTTCCCAATAAATGCATCAACTTGAATAATATTCATGCACCAAGTCTCAGGAGATAAGGGAGCCAGGAAAGAGTACTGTAGTGTGTGGTTTCAGAATGTAAGAGGGGATGACACATTGAAGAAGACAAGAAGAGTTCTCTTGTTGCCCAGGTCTAAGCAATGCACAGCCTGTGGACGGGAGAAGAAGGAACTAAGTCAGGGCCTTAGGCTACAAACCCAGTATCAGACCCACTACAGTGAAATCCACTGCTGGGAGCCCAACAGCCCCTGAGTCCTGGACAATCCCTGACCCAGGACAGTGCCCACAGATTAAAGTTCTAGAACCATGTTGGACAGGCAGCCAAGGCAGCACTACCCCTCCCTTACCCTTGAGCAGCAGAGGGAGAAAACTGAACATTGTGGAGGACATAAAAGTTGCCGTACGGCTTTGTATTATACTTCAGGGCCAGGGCTTGGTACAGTGATGCACCAGACAAAAAAACGAGGTTCTAGACTTAAGCCCAACCGTACAAACTAGGCCTCTAGGCATCCCCTCGCAGCTGGGAAGGTCTATACACAGACAGGTCAGATGTATGATTCAGCTTATGTCCTTACCAGGCATGGGATAGGCATGTATCCGAGACTTCGGATCTTTGTAGAAACCAGGCTAAGATACCAAGTTCAGCATCAGTCTAGAAAGCCAAGGGACCCTATAGACAAAACTACCTACAACTTCAGACAGCACAACAGGGAGTAAGAGGTGTGACTTTGCCAGGGGTATGGATGGTGTGAAAACAGGACTGCCTTACAACTCAGTGACACACCTGTGACCCCCGTAATGAGGCCAATGCCACAGTCAGAACCTCTTCAACAGTCCCAATGCCAGAGAAAGAGCTGTCAGCCAGCTGTCTCTATCTGTGGCTGGTTACAACAGTTTGGAGCCACGAGTCTACCTCAGCAAATGGCAGTATCTAGCAGTGCGGCCCTTAGTCTTGCATGGGTGCTGCTTAACCCAATAGGTGTTAAGCTTGTACTGAGGGTGTGAGCTAACATTTTAGTACCGGCCATCGCACAGTTGCTCACTCCAGTTCTTCCAAAAGTCCAAACAGCATAATACAGAGAGAACACTTTCCACTTAGTGAATGTAAAGGGAGGCAAGAGCCAAGCTGTGGCATGAGAGCCTGAAGCTGGTCCTTCCACAGTAAGTTTTCCAGGAACTGGGCAGATTTCCACAGTGTTACTCCAGGGCCAGGGACTATGGACAAACAAACCCTCTGTATCTACCTCAGGCAAGGGAGAGGCTGTGGGAACAGAACACCTTTTTAAAAGTGCCACTTGAGTCATGCCATACAGCATACCAATTTAGGGTTTGGAACAAAACCGAACTTGGATTTCCCTCTAGTGTTGAAATATAATAACACACCAACAGCAAGGCTTTAAACAATTTACTGGAGCTATCTTGTGATAAAATAGCAGAAGTAACTCTAGGTTAGGAAAACAAGTAGACACAAATAAAACTAGATTATATAAGTACAAATAACCCTTTAGTGCACATACAGTATTACACATCAGTAGGAGCTGCCAGAAGAAATCCAAGATGGCACCCAGCATTCAACAAATGGTGCCAGAAATTGACTACATTAGACTATGCAGTAACTCTTAGTGGAAACCTCAAAGCAGCTGCTTCAGGAAACGCAATGAGCTTCAAGAAAACACAGAGAAACAAATTAAATACTCTAAGAGAGAAATTTCACAGAAACATGGAAGCGGTTTTTAAAAAGGGACTGGACTCTGCATGAGCCAGGAATCAAACCCAGGCCTCCTGTGTGGCAGGAGAGAATTCTACCACTGAACCATCCATGCTGTATGCTGTAGCAGTTTTAAAAACAAAACTAAAATATTTAGGGTAAATAATACATTAAGCAAAACTTAAAACACAATGAAAGGCATCAAGAGCAGAAGAGATCCAATAGAATAAATGTAGGAAAAACAGGCTACTTGGAAGTGTGGAGAAGTTAAAAAGAAGGAAGAAAAAAGAGATTGTGGTATCCGACGGGTACCATAAACAGAGAAAATATTCAGCTCACCGGGTCTCTGGGAAAAACTCGTGAATATCAAAGGGAAAGCTTATCAGAGTTATAGGAGAAAACTCCCCAGACATAGAGATGAAATCAGCACCCTGGTCAAAAGTCATAGTCAGACTCCACTCAATCAAATACACTGTAACTTAGAGTCAGTTCCCCCAAACACACCACAGAGTTAAAACAAAATTTCCAAAGGTTAGAGAGCTATAACAGAAGACTGTAAACTCAGAACAAGAGACAAATAGCACATAGGCGTATTCAACACACCTTATTTCCTGACAGAAAAGTTAGATGAGGGGAAGAGTGGCATGGCGTTTTCACAGTACTAAGGAAAAATCAAACCCTCCCACCAAAAATACTGGGCCGAGCACAGCACTTCTTTGGAAATGACTGAGAGATAGAGGCAATCCTGGATGAATGAAACCCAGGTCCATTCATTTTCCTGAATATCTCCTAAAAATTGTGAAGAATGAGTTCCCTAAACTGAAAAAGACACAAATGAGCAAGAAAGAAAAAAAAAACAAAAAACAAAAAAACGACCACAACAAAAAACACTAGATGCTAAGATTCACAGTTCAGACCAGTTGAGCATGCTCTAATACTCTAAACATGGTGTAAAACCCATCAGCATGTTTGGTGGGACAAAGAACTAACATAATAAGAAGTACATCAATAAGCTGAAAGGGAGATTGCATACAGAGATGTGAAAGGGGCATCACAGGTGAAACTATACATAAACAGAGTGAGTATGCAGAGGTCCTGCTTTAGAACATATTTCTATACTTGTTTCTTATCCTTTTCAAAGATGGCAATTGCTATCATTTCATATAACTAATAAATTTTGCTTTATGAATTGAATTGCTGCTGAATTCTAGAGCAGAAAATGAAGTCAAAATCTTCACGTTCCTATAATTTTGTTCTTAAATAGGTCCCATCATAATGGGTCCCAAGTGTCCTTCAGTGTCCCCACACTCAGTGGGTGACAGTACCTTTCACTTGGTTTCAGGACACGGAGAGATTGCCCTCAGTACCCAGATGTGCAGTCAGCAGATTCCCTTTCTCAAGTGTGTCTCAAGAGCAATCATTTCTTAGTCATCATTATCATCTGTTGTTAGCTTAAGGCATTGGTCACCCACTGCAGACTCCTTCCACGGTTTGTTTTCCTTTTCCTAAAGCAAATAAGATAGCTAGAACAACAACAAACTCAAATCTGTCATCGTTTCATTTCGCACCATCTCCGCTGAGTGACCTGGCCTTGATGGTCTTTGGTGAGTGCTCCAGCTCTCCTTGCATGCCCAGGATAGTACCATGGAGGGAGTCCTCCCTACAGTGCTCTCATCTACCATCATCACTCATTACTTCCCTAAAGGCTGTGAAAATCACTGATAAAAGCAGGGTATGATGGCTCACACCTTTAATCCCAGCACTTGGGAGGCACAGCATGTGGATGTCTGTGAATTCCAGGCCAGCCAAGAGTTGCATATTGAGGCCCCTTCCTCAGTGAAACAAAGAGGTCAACAAGGATGCCCTCTATCATGCCAAACCCTGACAAAATTCAGCAA